CGGGAGGAAGAATCGGGAAGAAGGAGAAGATAAGGAAGAGCAAAACACGTGGCTGAGGAGAGAAATATCAGCCTTGATCCTTATCCTAATTTCCTTTCTTTTTAGCCCCTGAACTTTGAAAAATTTTGCTATTACATTCATTAATGATATTTCTTCACAATTAGGTCCCTAACTCACTTTAATGCTCTAGAAATTTTGGGGTATTACATCCACCCCTCCTAAAAAGGACTTTTGTCCCCAAAACTCAATCTAGGATTGTCTAGACTGGTGAATGGCTTCACATAATCTAAGACAAAACAATTGCCCCGACTTTCTATGATCAGAACATGGCCACTGCACTTTCGCTGCGCCACTCTAATATCAACCACAACTACCATGAAAACAACACCACCTCAAGAATAATTCCAAGGTCAAAACATCCATGAAATCAATCAAATTTTCAAGCAGAAAAATGACATAAATAGTGATAATTAGACCATCTATCTTACCCTTTTTAAGATAGATGCCGGTGTCACAATCACAAGAACCCAATTTCAACATACATGGCTAACATTTACAAGGTACTACAGTCAGATTCACTTCACAGGCAGTGAGTACTCATTACTAATCTAACAAGCCAATAACAAATCCCAATCTCCACCCTCCCCAATGGCCATTTGGGAAGCAGGAGATAACTTCACGCCTCAACACAAGTAACTAAACTCGAGGGTTTTTAGCGTGATTATGTGGTGCCCTTGACTCAAATCAAGACTCGGCACTCATCAAACACATCATGACAGGGAGTCTAATGATGAGTCCAACTAAAAGATGGAACCCTATCCGAGACGGATAAGCATCACTCGGATATATAGAATCATGAATGGATGAATGCATGAATATGCATGTATGAATGAATGCCTTTATGCACATGCATGTATGAATGCCCATGTGTGCATGCATGTATGCGTGTATATGCTCATGTATGTCTATGTTTGCATTCATATATGAATGCCCAAATGAATACTTAAACAAATAGACCTAATGTAAAAGGCCTTATACATTCTGCCACCACCTAGGGTTAATCACTAACGTGTTATTGGGTAGCAAAACAAGAATCTAAGCGGATAGAGGAAAGAACAATTCCTCTAGAACTGAACTCTAGAGTACTAAATACGATAATGATAACCCACTTTAAACATAGTCCATGACGGCAAGATATTTTTACAATCACGTCAATCAAAGATATTAAGACATAGTATCAACATTAGGCTATCTATCCATAACCAAAATAGGGATATCTCTAAACATATCCCTAGAAGTCGTCACCCCTCCTAAGGAGGTGTCCACATGAAACTTAAAACAAAAATTAACAGGTATATTGGTATACCGAGATAACAACTAGCATAAAATTCAAAACTTGAGCAAGAGCAGGTGTCAAAGCAAAAATATTTTCGAAGACAGTTCAGAATGGATTCCACTACCAAATATCAAGCAATTTTCTACATTAGCATATGTCAGACTAACTTCAAGAACTCCACCAGGCATAATTTATATTCAGATATCAATACTCAGGAAACAAAAACAAGTGCAGAATCCAAAACTTGAGTAATAACAGATTTCCAGATAATTTTTCAAGAATAGAAGCAAGTTTAGACAAAGATATTTGGTAGGCTACTTAGTAGGAAAAATTTCACCCATGTGTGAAATACTATCTTCTTTCCTGCAAGAGCATTTGGATATGTTCAGAAACTAAGTGGCATCAACCACAGCCTAGACATTGGCATGACATAGGCACGTATAATATACAGACTCAAATTCCATAAGGATTTCAATCAAAACATAAAAATTCTTGATTGATCATTGTCGCTTCACATCTAAGTTCATTACATAGGCAAACCAAGTTATCCGCTCAAAAATCATCAAATATCAAACAAATATATTGAACCAAAATCATAAGATTGAAACAAAAGAAATGAACCAAATTAATTACCATTATGAATGCAAAATAACTCGTTTTAAGTTTGGAACTAGAGCTTACAAGCAGATTCACACGCACTGAAATCATCAACAGCTCCAAACACAAATTCCAGATTTATCACTGTCAGCTCAATTCATTATCCAAACAAAATTTTCCAGAACTAACTCAAAATCACTAAGATTTACAATTAAAATCATCCCTTGTATAACCCATCACTCATCTCACCACGGTTCTAAATCCATTGGCTAGCCAAGTCCAAAACAAATCCTAGGTATTTACATAAACCTAGGCTCTCACACCACGAAATCTTAATCAAACCTAAGCTCTGATACCACTTTATCTGTCACGCCTCAGAACCCAAATCCGAGGCGCAACAGACGCCGTGCACTCGTGAGACGAGTCCCACAAATGCACAAGGCTTGGAACTTATCACACCACAATCTGATACCATCAAAATCTGAAGATCAAATTATAAAATTGGCTCTCATATCATAAAATCTCCAAATACACTCTAAC